TCATACTCAGGGGGAGGAATGTCATGATTGTAACAAGGTCAGCCAGGTGAACCTCATAGAATATGAGTTCCCTGATTGGGGAGTTAATCTAGTCCAATCAGGGAACTCTGGCGGACTGATATAAACAGGAGCGTTTTAGGTTCTGTTTACTCTGAGAGAGCTGATTAGTGTTAAGGACTGTCTATATGACTTGGTGATGGGATGCTGGCATTGAGGAGTTAATACAGTTGGGTAGGAAAGTAAGTTGTGATGAAGTCATAAGAAGGCTACAAAAAAGAATAGATAGGTTATTAGAGTGTGGGCAAGGGTGCAGCGAGCGTAATATAGTGTGGTAAAATCTAAAACTTTCCATTTTGGCAGTAAGACTAAAAGAAACATAATATTTAAAAGGTGAAAAATTACAGAACTCTGGGATGCTGAAGGATTTAGGTGACCTCATGCATGAATTGTTAAAGGTTAGTATGCAGGTACAGCGAGTAATTTGGAAAGCTAGCAGAAAGTTATCATTTAGCATGAGGGGAATTGAAAACAAAAGTTGGTTATGCTTCAGTTGTTTATGATACTGGTGAAATTGTACCTGGAGTAATTTGGACAGAATTCCTTATTCAAGGAAGAATATAAATGCAGGGAAGTTTACTAGACTAATACCTGGCATGGAGAAGTTGACTAGTGGGGAAAGTTTGATCAGGCTAAGCTTGAATCTGCTGAAGTTTTGAAGAGTAAGCAGGACTTGCTTGCAACGTATAAGATCCTGAAGAGAAGATGTTTCCTCTAATAGAGGAATCTAGAACTAAAGGGCTTTGTTTAAAATCAGAGGTTGCCCATTTGGAAAAAACAAGGGAGGTGAATTTCTTTCCTCTGAGGGTTGTGAGTCTTTAGAACTCTCTTCGTGAAAAGGTAGCAGAAGCATCACATTTTAAGGCAGATAGTTTCATGTTAAGCAAGGGAATTTAAGCTTATCAGGGTTGGTAGCAATGCTGATTTGAGGTTTCAGTCAGATCAGCCATGATTTTATTGATCGGCAGAGAAGGCTCAAAGAGCTGAATGGACTACTCATATTCCTAATTTAATTTATGTGCAATTTATAACAATGCTAGTTTTAGTTCCATTTCAAACCAGACATGTCAGTTTTCCACTGGAGATTGTTCAGTCTTTGCTTTGTGAAAGTTGATGTACAAATGAAAAGCAGTTTGGATCAGAGATGCATAATACCCAGCTGCTGGAGCCCTGTAATGTGATATACAGCACAGGTGCTCCTCCGGGCAGTTTCCTTCAAGAGGAACCTGTCACTGAATAATTGCAGATGTAGCCCTTCTTGCCACTGACAGCATTTTGTCTGTGTTTGTTAAAATCACTCCTGCCCTCATATAGCTAATTTTTAAAATAATCGCTCACAAGATGTCAGTATTGGCTTTTATTGCTCACCCCTTGTTGCCTTCAAGATGGTGGCAGTGAGCTGCCTTATTGAATTGCTACAGTCCATTTGATGTTAGATATACCCAGAATGCCATAGGGAGGGCGTTCCAGGCTTTTGATCCAGCAACAGTGAAGGAACAGCGATATATTTCCAAGTCTGGATGATGAGTGCCTTGGACTTCCATAGTGTTTCCATAGTGTTCCCATGTTGGAGCTGCACTCATCTGGGCAAGTTGGAAGTATTTCATCACAATCCTGACTTGTACCTTATAGATGGCAGACTTTGATGAGTCAGGAGGTGAGTTACTCACTGCAAGATTCCTAGCCTCTGTCCTGCTCTTGTAGCCTCAGTACTTGTATGACAAGTCCAGTTCAGTTTCTGGTCAGTGTAACCCTTAAGGTGTTGATAGTGGGGAATTCAATGCCATTGAATGCCAAGGGGCAGTGGTTAAATTCTCTCTTGTTGAAGATGGTCTTTACCTGGCACTTGCATGATGCGAATGTTACATGTTACTTGTCAGCCCAAGCCTGGATATTATCCAGGTCTTGCATATTGGCATGGACTGCTTCAATATCTTAGAAACCATCAATGTCATAGAACTCAGACAGATTCATGAGGCAAAATATGAGTGTTATTTCACTGGCATTTATTCTAATGAAACAGGTGGGATTTTATTAAATGGAGGAATTCTTCAAGGTGTAAGGAATCAGAGGTAATAGGTACTATGTTTTTGTAATCATAATAGGACTTTCCTGTTAACTCCTTTTGCCAATGAAGAGGATCGCAGCAAAGGATATCACATCGTACATAATATAACACATACATTTGAGGGTTCAATTAGTTTACAGTTAAGCAGGTTTTCTAGTCACCACAGAGTAATTTATTCTGAATTTGTAGACTTGCTCGCTGAGCTGGTGTGTTTGGTTGTAGACGTTTCATCACCCTGCTAGGTAACATCATCAGTGTGCCTCTGGTGAAGGGTTGGGTTACTTATATGCCTTGGTTTTAAATAACAAGCAGGACCGAACACCAACGCTTCACCGGAGGCACAGTGACGATGTAACCTAGCAGGGTGACAAAACATCTGCAACTAAACACACTGACTCAGTGAGCAAGTCTACAACCCCATCCACAACCCAAGCTACAAATCTTCTCAAAAACTTTGAGTAATTTATTCTCTTTGAAGATTAAATTGCTCAAATGTGTAAGAAATTCTACATATTTTAAAAATGATGCATTTTCTGTTTTTCTTTTAGAAAAATGTATTTATGGTATTTTAGCTGGTACCTTAGCTACTCCTTTGACCATACCCTAATAATTTATTTCCTATCTCTAAAATTTAAAATTCAATGTGGTTCATTGGTTTTTCCTTCCTGGTTTGCTCAGTGAGAATACGGTAATTGGCTGTTTAGCATGCTGGATGCTCATTACTGGAGGCTCACTTGACATAGCACCTGATCCAAACTGACGTCTGGAGAGGAGAAATCTACACCTTAGAGACTGCTGGCTTTTTGTGGACATATTTTTTTCCAGCATTGTTGCTTCATAGCAGCCTGCAGAATCTACCTCTTTCCACTTTTCTCCTTCTCAAGGAGAGAATAATTACCCTGGTAAATAGAATGGACAAAATTGGTGAGGAGTTGCTTCTCTAATCTCAGGTTGTTTCTCGTCGACACTTGAAACATGCAAGGAGAACAATCTGTGCTTGGAGAAGCAGTGAGGAGTTCAGCAAGGTCAGTAATAGTAAGAAGATTACCACCAGAAGGGCTAGAGCACCTCTGACTGAGATGGGCCTCTGCCAGGGACCAGTTCTTTTACTGGGGATCGTCCCTAATGGCTGGGCTATGGGCTGGATATTTTGCCAGGGGTCATGCCTTTTGTCATGGCAATGGGCTGTGCCTTTCTCTGGGAACCTTTTTGTCACAACATGGCTGCATGCTGGTGATTTTGTGGGTGCTGTGTCTTTTTCCAAGAGCGAGGCCATTCGCTGGATCCGAGGGTTATGGTGTTTCTGCTGGCAGCACGTGAAGGAGGCTGTAAAAGGAGTTATGTGGAGGAAGTGTCTACAAGAAGGATGAGACACTGAAGCTGCAAAGGGGAGTAGACTGTTTTCTACCTGTCAATGAAAAATACTTAGCTAACTTGAAATCACTGAAGTAATGAGTTCCTTGCAAATGGACATAGAATCTTTATTTTAAGGCTGCATAAGTCATGAATTACTATACAGGAGAATAAAAAATGTAATGGTTACTATTGTAATGAATGTTGTGTGCAAATCATGAAATTTAAAGCTGAGTTGCAGTTAAAAACGTGTGCTATATATGTGATGCAACAAATTGGCTGTGACATCGCCAGTCTGTGGAAGGTATGTTAAGGTAATGGCTTTTTGGTGTGGAATACTAGTGTCAACTGTTTTAGAAAGAAATCTTTTAACTTATGCCTATGTCTTGTGCAAAGTATTGTCAAATACTATAATGTTTAGGAAATCAATATTTTGCTCTTATGTTTTGGCTTTAAGTTTAATGAGGCTTGTTACTTATTACGGATGTTGATGAATTCTTCTAATTCTATGGATGTGAGAGACCAAATACCTCATACAATGCAGCAGATAATGTTGCTACGTAACTGCATCACCTACTAAATGACTTAGTGACAATGAAAAAGGAGAGCCCGAAAATCAGAAACCAGCTCTGAAGAAAATCCCAAGAAGAGCCCTTGTGAAAGAAAAAATATTTTGTGCTTTGTTGGAGTGCCTGTCAAGTGGGTTGCTCTATCCTGTATAGCATTGAGCTTGTTGAATGTTATCAGCTAAGTGAGGAGTATTCAATCATATTCGTGATGTGTATTTTATAGATGGTGCTAGCGTTTTGAGAAGTCAAGAGGTAAGTATTTGCTGTAAAATACCCTGCCTCTGGCCTGAGGTCATAGCCTTGGTGTTTATATAGCTGTTCCACTGAAGTTTTTTTTATCTTTAGTGAACTATTTAGAGGAAGGGGTTCAGCAATGATAATGCCTTTAAAATGTGACAGGGAGGTGACTAGATTTCCCCTCAATGAGATGATCATTGCCATGTATGGCTCAAATGCTATCTGTCACTTATCAGCCCAAGTCTGAATGTTGTCCATATCTTGCAGCGTATGGTGGCAGGTTGCTCCATTAGGAGACGAATTGCAAATGAAAGTAAATGCCCTTAATTATCAGTGAACATCTTTGCTTGTGACTGCATGATGAAAGGAAGCTCATTGAACAAGCAGTTGAAAACCTTTGTGCCTGAGTAGCTTCTGCTGCAGTGTCTTGGAGCTAAAATATAGTCACTCAATAGTGTTGCATTGTAATTTATGAAATTTTTAGTGATCAATTTTACCCATATCTGTTTTCTTAGTTTTGCTCAAATTTGAATTCAAATCTTAATTTTGCCATGCAGTAGTTTTAGTCAAGTCAGTTCTTGTAGTTAAAGTATTATACTTATCTGTGATCTAATTACAATTTATTGTTACAATGAATGTAAAGCTTACCAAACCCAACTTCATTGTGTCTTATTCATATGATCATTACACATTAAGACATATGTTCCTAATTAAAGGTTCAAAAGAAGAAAGTCACCATTATTGACCTGAAATATCAAATAAAACAACTTCAACAGCAGCACAATGAAACAGTGGAAGAAAATGGACGCTTACGAGCACGACTTGAAGCTTGGATGATCACTGCACAAAGTGAACAGGATATCCTTTCAAATGAAGTAAGTTCTTGAATTTTCAATGAATATTCAGACAAATGTATCTGAAATCCATACATTTTTGAAATTGGCAGGATATGGAGAATAGTTAGCAGAGCGTATAGCATCTTGGGCTTCATAATCTGCTATAAGCCATCAACTATTAGGATTTTTTAGCTGATGAGAAACTGGGTAGACTGGGATTGTTTTCCTTGGAGCAGAGGAGACTGACGGAGGACATGAATGAGATGTATAAAATTATAAAGGGCATAGAAAGAGTAGACAAGAAGGACCTTTTCACCTTGGTAGAGGGATCTATCATCGGGGGCATAGAGTTAAGATAAGAGGCAGGAGGATTAGAGGGAATGTGAGGAAATTATTTTTCACCCAGATAATGGTAGGAATCTTGGACTTGCTGCCTGTAAGGGTGATAGAGGCAGAAACCCTTATAACATTAAAGAAGTACTCGTACTTATAAGGCCAAGGTATATAAGACTATGGGCCAAGTGCTGGAAAAATGGGATTAGAGTACTTAGATGCTTGTTATTTCCTGGCATAAACTCGATGGCCCTACACAAGAGAGAATCTCCATAGAACACTTGCAGCAGCCAACAGACCAGAAGGGAGGAGGATCCCTGATATGCAATTCGGGAAAGGACATTGAAGTAGTTACCCAGGAGACCATACCTCAGCCCTCTATCACCTTAACAGGCAACTAACACTGTAGCCACTATATCCTCAAGCCATGTTAGAATAAGCCTCGTCAGATTTAGCCAAGCAGAACCTAGAGGAATATGATCATCCCAACAACAACAGCAGTGCACAATCTTTCTTTATAGGCACTTCCCTGAAGAAAAGGATTGGCCACTGTTCATCTCTACTCCTATGAAGTAAGCATCACCAGTACAGGCTATCCCAGGGCAGTGTAATTGCTGTGAATAACATTAGCATTGAAGCCTGGCCACAAGAGTCTTGGTGGGGAAGAGTTTGAGAAACAAGTTAACAATAGATTGAAATGTAAATATTTTAATGATGAAAAAATATAAACTTGTTAAGATGGGAAAGGGTAAACTTTCAGGAACAGAATCAATGCTTTTGGGAAGCTAATGCATAAAGCAGCAGCTATCAGGCAGCTAGTTAATGACATCACTGGAAGTGACTTCAGCTTTTGGGACTTACTCATTGTGGACAAAGACATACTCAATGGGAGTCATGCCGAGATTGCATAATTGCATAAACCAAACCGTCCTCCAGGCCCATCTTATGACACAGCTAGAAGACACAGAAATACAGAGTACAAAATGAGGAAAGTTATGCTGAACCTATGTAAAGGCTGAAGCTATAAGAATTGTGTTCATTTCAGCTCATTAAACTTAAAGAATGATGCAAAAGCTTTTAAAAGATGTACAATAATTTAAGGATGAATGAAGTTAGCTACGCAGATAGGTTGGAGACGTTAGGGTTGTTCTCCTTGGAGTAAAGGAGATCTGATTGAAATATGCAAGATTATAACAGATTTAGAAAATATGGAAAGGTTCCCATTGTCTGATAGTTCAAGGACCAAGAGACAGAGATTTGAAATTTTCAGCAAAGGTGTGTAGAAGAACTTCTTCATGTAGTATTACATGGTAATGAATTTAAAGTCACTGCCTTTGAGTGTTTTGGAAATAGAAATGATCAATATTTGCAGAAAGAAATTGAACATGTACTGTGGAAATAAACTTGCAGCGCTGTGGGAATAGAGTGCGGGAATGGGCCTGATTGGATTGCTTTTCAAAGAGCCAGCATGAACTCCGTGGACCAAATTGCTTGCTTCTGTACTGCTCAGATTCTGAAAATAATTTTTATCTTGACCTACAGGTCTTTTGTAAGGAAGACATAATCCATAAACTAAGAATGAAGCAACTTACTCAAGATGAAAAATCTAAAATATTAGAGGAACAGGCAAGTTTTTAAAGTTTTGTTTGATGCCAATGCAACATTTCATGCAAAAAAAATCACTAAAATGATTTTATTCTTAAGGTACATATATAATATCTAGTAGACTTTCATTAAAATAGAAGTGTCTTATATTTTATAAATTTGAAATTTTGTAGCCATCCCAAACAAATGTCAGCTTGAGGTTTTGTGTAGTGTCAATTTATACTTCAATATTTTCCCTCAACCAGAATCCTACATTTATTCTAGATAAGAACAAAGAACAATACAGCACAGGAACAGGCCCTTTAGCCCTCCAAGCGTGCGCTGTCACATTTTGCCCTTCCATACTTAAACTGTATAAAAACCAAAAGAACAAAAACAAAGTTGCTGGAAAAGTTCTTCCTCAGTTCTGAGAAAGGGTCACCGGTCCCGAAACGTTAACTCTGTTTTCTCCTTCACAGATGCTGCCAGACCTGCTGAGCTTTTCCTGCAACTTTGTTTTTGTTCGTACTAAAACTGTCTTCGCTTATATGATCCGTATCCCTCTATTCCCTTCCTATTCATGTATTCATCCAGGTGCTTCTTGAATGCTGCTATTGTGTCTGCTTCCACCACCTCCTCTGGCAGTGTGTTCCAGGCACTCACCACCCTTTGTGTGAAAAACTTGCCTCGCACATCTCTTTTAAACTTCCCCCCCTTGCACCTTGAACCTGTGTCTCCTAGAAATCGACCCTCCACCCTGGGGGAAAAAGCCCCATAACTTTCCACTCTATCCATTGCCATTCACAATCTTTTAAACTTCTGTTAGTTCGCCCCTCAACTGTGTTCCAGTGAAAACAAACCCAGTCTTTCCAGCCTTTCTTCATAGCTAAATTCCCCCATATCAGGCAACATCCTGGTAATCCTTTTGAGTACCCTTTCCAGATATCAATGGAGTAAACCGTTGTGGCAATTCAATACTTTTTGGCATTAACTCCAAGCTATCACCTTTTGATTTGTCATTCTGTTAAACTGTAAAGTGCTTCCTGTGATGCGATGGAACAATTATTTTCACCAAAATTTTCACAAGGATTCTGGATTTGAAAAACAGAAGTCAGATTTCAATAAATTGCACATAGGAGTTAAGGAGCAGAAATCCAGATGAGGGATGGAGAATTTTCAAATTTGTGGTGGACTAAATATGAAAGGGAAAGGGGAATTTATCAAAGAATGATGAAATATGACTAAATAGAGAAATGAAAAATTCAATGTCAGAAATATGATAAAACTAGAGCGAGCATTGTTAAAAAATAGTCAGGACGAATGTGAGAACTGTAGCCATGGTAAAAATAGTACTACTAAAGTAAAAGAATGGGATGGTGGTGTTGTGCTATTAGCACTGAATGATGCCTAAGTTAATGCTCTCGGGATACTACGTCAACTCCCAGCATGGGAACTGGTGTACTTTTATTCATAACAATGAACAAATATGGAATTGAAATGTAGTTACCTGTAATGGTGACCATCAAACTGTCATTGTTGTCATAAAAACCCAGCTGTACATCTCAGTTGTCCTCGTTTTTCAAGCACCGTAACTTCCCCCCCTCGGTGGTCAAGAACGCCCTCAACCGTGTCTCCCACATCTCCCGCACCTCATCCCTCACACCCCGTCCACGCAATAAGAACCAAAAAAGTATCCCCCTCGTCCTCACGTACCACCCCACCAACCTCCGGATCCAACGCATCATCCTCCGACACTTCCGCCATCTGCAATCCGACCCCATCACCAAAGACATCTTTCCCTCCCCACCCTTATCTGCTTTCCGGAGGGACCACTCTCTCCATGACTCCCTTGTCCGCTCCACACTCCCCTCCAGCTCCACCACACCCGGCACTTTTCCCTGCAACCACAGGAAGTGCTACACCTGCCCCCATACCTCCTCCCTCACCCCCATCCCAGGCCCCAAGAAGACTTTCCACATCAAGCAGATGTTCACCTGCACATCTGCCAATGTAGTATACTGCATCCGCTGTACCCGGTGTGGCCTCCTCTACATCGGGGAAACCAAGCGGAGGCTCGGGACCGCTTTGCAGAACACCTACGCTTGGTTCGCAATAAACAACTGCACCTCCCAGTGGCGAACCATTTCAACTCCCCCTCCCATTCCTCAGACGACATGTCCATCCTGGGCCTCCTGCAGTGCCACAACGATGCCACCCGAAGGTTGCAGGAACAGCAACTCATATTCCGCTTGGGAACCCTGCAGCCCAATGGTATCAATGTGGATTTCACAAGTTTCAAAATCTCCCCTCCCGCTACCGCATCCCAAAACCAGTCCAGCTCGTCCCTGCCTCCCGAACCTGTTCTTCCTCCCACCTATCCCCTCCTCCCACCTCAAGCCGCACCTCCATATCCTACCGACCAACCTCATCCCGCCCCCTTGACCGGTCCGTCCTCCCTGGAATGACCTATCCCCTTCCTAACTCCCCACCTACACTCACCTTTACTGGCTCCATTCCCGCCTCTTCGACCTGTTTGTTTCCTCTCCACCTATCCTCTCCTCTATCCATCTTCTATTCGCCTCCCCCTCTCTCCCTATTTATTTCAGAACCCCGTTCCCCTCCCCCTTTTCTGATGAAGGGTCTAGGCCCGAAACGTCAGCCTCTCTGCTCCAATGATGCTGCTTGGCCTGCTGTGTTCATCCAGCCCTGCACCTTGTTGTCTCGGATCATTAATGCCCTTTGGTAAAGGACATCTGCCAACCCTACCCAGTCTGTCCCACATGTGACTCCAGATTCAGAATATTGCAATTGACTCTTAGCTGCAATCTGAAATAAGATAGCAAGTCCCTGAGTTCAAAGAGCAGTTAGGAATGTGCAACAAATGCTGGCCTTGCCAGTGATGGCATATCTCATGATAGAAAAGAAGAAAACGAGAAAAGAACTTAAAAGAATGTTTAGATAATATAGAAAGGAAATAATACCATCTTTTCTAAAAATGAAATAGAGTCATAGAGTCATACAGCACACAAACAAACCTTTTGGTGCAACCAGTCCATGCTGAACATAATCCCAAACTAGTCCCACCTGCCTGCTCTTGGCCCATACCCTCCAAACCTTTCCTATTCAGGTGTCCATCCAAATGTCTTTTAAATGTTGTAATTGTACCCACATCTACCACTTTCTCAGGAAGTTCATTCCACATATGAACCACCCTCTATGTAAAAAATGTGCCTCTTATGCCTTTTTTAAAGCTCTCTCCTCTCACCTTAAAAATGTGCCCCCTAGTCTTGAAATTTCCCATCTTAGGGAACAGACAACTACCATAAACTCTGTGTTCAGCATAACTTTCCTCATTTTGTACTCTGTATTTCTGTGTCTTCTAGCTGTGTCATAAGATGGGCCTGGAGGACGGTTTGGTTTATGCAATTATGCAATCTCGGCATGACTCCCATTGAGTATGTCTTTGTCCACAATGAGTAAGTCCCAAAAGCTGAAGTCACTTCCAGTGATGTCATTAACTAGCTGCCTGATAGCTGCTGCTTTATGCATTAGCTTCCCAAAAGCATTGATTCTGTTCCTGAAAGTTTACCCTTTCCCATCTTAACAAGTTTATATTTTTTCATCATTAAAATATTTACATTTCAATCTATTGTTAACTTGTTTCTCAAACTCTTCCCCACCAAGACTCTTGTGGCCAGGCTTCAATGCTAATGTTATTCACAGCAATTACACTGCCCTGGGATAGCCTGTACTGGTGATGCTTACTTCATAGGAGTAGAGATGAACAGTGGCCAATCCTTTTCTTCAGGGAAGTGCCTATAAAGAAAGATTGTGCACTGCTGTTGTTGTTGGGATGATCATATTCCTCTAGGTTCTGCTTGGCTAAATCTGACGAGGCTTATTCTAACATGGCTTGAGGATATAGTGGCTACAGTGTTAGTTGCCTGTTAAGGTGATAGAGGGCTGAGGTATGGTCTCCTGGGTAACTACTTCAATGTCCTTTCCCGAATTGCATATCAGGGATCCTCCTCCCTTCTGGTCTGTTGGCTGCTGCAAGTGTTCTATGGAGATTCTCTCTTGTGTGGGGCATCGAGTTTATGCCAGGAAATAACAAGCATCTAAGTACTCTAATCCCACTTTTCCAGCACTTGGCCCATAGTCTTATATACCTTGGCATTATAAGTACGAGTACTTCTTTAATATTATAAGGGTTTCTGCCTCTATCACCCTTACAGGCAGCAAGTCCAAGATTCCTACCATCGTCTGGTTGAAAAATAATTTCCTTACTTCTCTCTAAACCTCCTGCCTCTTGCCTTTTCACTCCTTCATTTTTCAAGGCAGTCCTTACATACAATTTATTTATTTTACCATATATCTTCAACCAGTAAGCTACAGGATAGACTTCACTGTTTACAGGCAAGCCTTCAACCCCAAAAATGGTTTAGAGCTCTTGATGCTAGCTCCAGGCAAGTAACATGGCCATTTTAGATGTATGTCTAAAATCACCTTCTATTCTTCCTGATAAAGAATTTGAAAAGGAATGAAGATGTTGGCCTTCAAAATAAAGTGCGTCCACACAAATTTTTAGGTAAGATTGGGCAAACTAAACATTATTAAAGTTCTAATATTTTGAAGTTAGTTCCTCAGGGATCAAAAATAATAAGCAATTTGTTAATGCATTTTGTTAATCAATGAACTTTTCAAGTCCACTGTTTTGGGAGATCACTGATCTTATACTTTTAGGAAGATTGTCTCCTCATGGCCCTCTTTCCCTCTGGGAATAAGGAAAAATTGCATAGCAGAAAAGGAATGGAAATTATGTTCAGCTGTGTTAAATATTTCAGTTTGCAAATTGAACAAAATTAAAATGCTCCTCCAATAAAATTATGTCCTCATTCTGATACTTTTTGTAAAATTTGAAGTAGCAGCCTTTTCCCATGCTTTTAACTTCCCAAGCTGTGGCAACCCTCTTAATTTCTGAGCGAGCTTACACTGGCTCTGATTCACTGGTAGCAGGGCGCACCAGGGTTGTTCAAATGCTG